CGAGCACCGCTACCAGGGCAAGATGTTCGATGAAGAGAGCATCCTGGGGGAGCTGAGCGAGCCACTGCGGGAGGTGGGGCCGGGCTGGACCTTGTCGGGAGGGCTCTTCAAGGATCTGGGCTTTCCGGAGGTGCTGCCTGGGCTACACGGGAGTGCTTATCATGTGCTCCTGTAGGGACTGAGGTCTAAGATGGCCCCGTGGGAGGACAAGTATTTGAGGGGAGATGGCTTTCTGTGGAAGGTCTTATGGTAGTGAAGGCTGTATGAAAAGTGCCTGCAGGGTGCCCCGGTGGAAAGGTTCTGAAGGCAGGGAGGTCCCCAGACCCACTGTAGCATCCCCATCCATTGGATGGGGTTTCTGGAGACAGATGAGCTTGATGGGGGCATCTTCCAGCAGGGGGCAAAGCCTGTCTGATAGGCCCCTCCTATGTCCAGGAGATTATTAACTTCACCTGCCGGGGCCTGGTGGCCCACATGCCGCTGTTTGCTCATGCTGACCCCAGCTTCGTCACCGCAGTACTCACCAAGCTCCGTTTTGAGGTCTTCCAGCCAGGGGACCTGGTGGTGCGTGAGGGCTCCGTGGGCAGGAAGATGTACTTCATCCAGCATGGGCTGCTCAGTGTGCTGGCACGGGGCGCCCGGGACACTCGCCTCACTGACGGATCCTACTTTGGGGGTCAGCAGGCTTCGGGGAAGGTGGGGGGTCATGAGCATTGGACAGCATGCAGTTGCTCCCTAGGATCAGGGTCCCACCTGTTTGTGCTGCAGAATCAGTCACAGAACAGCCCTTCCCCAGACCTTCTCAGTGAGTCTCTGAGCTGGGCTGAGGCTCTCTATTTTATTTTGATTGATTGATTGAGCCAGGTCTCTATTAGTAGCTCTGGCTGTCCTGGAACTTGCTCTGTAGACCAGGCTGACCTCATACTTACAGAGGTCCACCTGCCTCTGCCTCCCAAGTGCTGGGGTCAAAAGTGTGCAGCCACCGCACCTGGCAGTTGCTTTTTTTATTTTCTTCTCACGGGAATCCAGTGCATGGCCAGGCTGTAAGCTACTGGGCCAACAGCCCAGTGGGATTATTAGCTGACACGATGCAAGAGTCTTGTGAGTTGAGGGAAAGCTAGGGATGAAGCAGAGCTGTCCCACAGACTTAGGCTTTGTGGAGCTTCCAAAGACACAGCCTGTGGCAGTGGGCGACGCACTGCCAGCTGATACCCAAAGTGTCTTGAGGCTCATACGACCTACCAGCCACCTAGCCAGCCACCACCTTCAAGCATCTTGTCAGTTGTGCGTTGTGTCCATTCAGCCTGCTTTTTCTTCTCCTCTTTAATCAGGGCAGGGGGTAGAGTAGGGTACACCCTGGGATGGAGCAATAGGACTGGGGTTGGAGTTAATGTGGAACAGAGTAACTGAGAGCATCTGGGGCTGGCAGACCTGTTTGTTGGCTTTTGGAGAGAATGAAAAAGTCGGGGAGTAGCCTTCCAGATGTGCAGGTCTGGAGACAGTGGTTGGAGCAGTTAGGTAATCATTAATATCTCCCAAGTCTAGCGAAAATCTGAGAGTGCTGGGTTAGCTGCTGCAGGCCTAGTGGGAGGGAGCTCTGTGGACAGGGGCCTGAGCCTCTCCCTAACTTTTGCAGAGATCTGCCTACTGACCCGAGGCCGGCGAACCGCCAGTGTAAGGGCCGACACCTATTGTCGCCTCTACTCACTCAGCGTGGACCACTTCAATGCGGTGCTTGAGGAGTTCCCAATGATGCGCAGGGCTTTTGAGACTGTGGCCATGGACCGGCTTCGCCGCATTGGTGAGGCCTGTTTACTCTGTCTGCTCTGGGTCTGGGCTGGGTGTCTCCTCATTTCCATAGCAAGGAGCCGAGCTCTAGTGCTTTGGCATTGCGTCCCAACCCGCCAGTCCCAGTCCATGCCTCCAGAGGGTTTCGGTGTTGTTACTAGTCTTACCTCTGGCAAGCCATAGCAATGGATACATCTCCCCAGACCTCCATTCCCCAAGTCCTCCTTAATACCTGTCCTTAACCTCAGCTTTTTGATTGATGCCACCTTCCAGCTTCTGTTGCCCAGTATTCTATATCTACTTCTGACTACCCATCCCCTACCCGTCATACTCCCCCACACCCTGCTTTCCAACTTCCACCTTAGATCCTTTTCCTTTCCTAACTTCTTGGTCCTGGAACAACTTGTAGGCAAAAAGAATTCGATATTGCAGCGGAAGCGCTCTGAGCCCAGTCCAGGCAGCGGCGGCGGCGTCATGGAGCAGCATTTGGTACAACACGACAGAGACATGGCTCGTGGTGTTAGGGGCCTGGCTCCTGGCACAGGAGCTCGGCTCAGTGGAAAGCCAGTGCTGTGGGAGCCACTGGTGCATGCACCTCTGCAGGCAGCTGCTGTGACCTCCAACGTGGCCATAGCCCTGACTCACCAGCGAGGCCCTCTGCCCCTCTCCCCTGACTCCCCAGTGGCCCTCCTTGCTAGATCTGCTAGACGCTCAGCAGGCTCCCCAGCCTCCCCACTGGTGCCTGTCCGAGCAGGTCCTCTGCTGGCCCGAGGACCCTGGGCGTCCACCTCCCGACTGCCTGCTCCACCTGCCAGAACCCTCCATGCCAGTCTATCCCGGGCAGGGCGTTCTCAGGTGTCCCTGCTGGGCCCTCCCCCAGGAGGAGGTGGTAGGAGGCTAGGACCTCGGGGCCGCCCACTCTCTGCCTCTCAACCTTCTCTGCCTCAGCGAGCAACAGGTGATGGCTCTCCTGGGCGCAAAGGCTCTGGAAGTGAGCGCCTGCCCCCCTCGGGGCTCCTGGCTAAGCCTCCAGGGACAGCCCAGCTACCCAGGCCATCAGTGCCTGAACCAGTTACCCCCAGGGGTCCCCAAATTTCTGCCAACATGTGAAATCCTAGGTTACACTGGCCTTAGCTATTGGTGTGCAATGGTGCACACATTGGTGTGCAATGATGTGTGCCTGAGGGTAGAAATGCCTTGGGGAAGACTGACAGGATCTAAAATACTACCCTTTACTGCCATGAAGCTGTTCTGTATCCTCAGCTCAAGCAGCTGCAGCCTGTTAATCCTAATCATATACCCATTTGTCGTAGGTACCCAGTGCCTACCATGCTCAAGGCATTGTGCTAGGTACTGTGTGTCTCCACTGCCAAGTAGAAGTGACTCAAAGCCCTCTTACTAGGGTGTCCCCAGGCCACCATCCTGCCAGGTGCAGGCATGGGCCCACAACCCCGCCTTTACGAAACACAGATTTACTAGCAGCCACCATCACTGCCAACTAGATGGCTGTTTCCCTGTCAGTGACCCAGCGGGTTCTGCCCAGTGTGTCTTATCTTCCTGTCCCCTTCATCATAGCTGGTACCGTCAATTATCTATTACAGCCAACAGATGTCCAGGGTCCTGAGTGTGAACATATACCCTCTTCCTACCACCTGTGGGCCCTCCTCGTCTTCGTCTAGCGAGAACACCCGTCTGCCCGCCGTAGCGTACCCTCCCTCCACAGCTCCTGTGTGGTAGCACTGCCTTTGTAAGCTAGAAGCTGCTCTTCACTGTGCACCCTGCTTCAGTGGTACTGCCCTTAAAGCTAAGGGATACTTGGCGCCTCCTTACTAACTATACCAGCCTAGCTCCCCCCTGGTGGGGGGCAAGGGGCTGAATCCTCATGTGACCTTTTATCTTCCCTCTTTGTCTTATTTATTCAGTCATTTATCAATTTTATTTATTCATTTGCTAATTTGACTTGTTCATTTTGTTACTCATTCTTCTGTCTGTCCTCCCCACCTCCTGGTAGGGAGGCTGAGGGACAGGAGGACACCTTTGCGGTCCTTGCACAATCCCACAGCGGCAGTACTCTCCGTACTGAGGTAGTGGGAAGAGGGTGACAGGTTGACGGAGGGCTGCACCCTGGTTTCTTCCCCTCTCATCAGGGGCTGCTGTTGGTTCAGAAGAGGTGTGCCTGGGGTCTCCAAACCTAGGGAGGGCAGACCAGCAGCACCCCTGATTCCTCAGGGACAAGAGCGCCCTCTGTCCTACACTGTAGCATTGAATCGCGGAGGCAGAGCAACAAACAACACATCTTCTCTCCTGGGTGGGGGGATTCTGGAATTTTTGGCCTGTGGGAGTTGTTTTTATAATTGGACCTAAACAGTAGGGGTTTAAAAAAAAAGTGGTTTTTTGTTTGTTTAGTTGGTTGGTTTTTTTTTTTTTTTTTTTTGTTGTTGTTTTGATTTTTGCTTCTGATCTATGGGGAAAAAGTGGCTGTGAAAGGATTTCTAGATCATCTGGCCCAGCAGAGCAGTGGACATGAGATCAGTCAGATTAGTGGTTTTCTTTTTTTTTTTTTTTTTTTTTTTTTGGTTTTTCAAGACAGGGTTTCTCTGTGGTTTTAGAGGCTGCCCTGGAACTAACTCTGATCTGGTCTCCAACTCACAGAGATCTGCCTGCCTCTGTCTCCTGAGTGCTGGGATTAAAGAGCCTGAAGTCCAGTGTGGTGGTTCATGCCTGTAATCCCTACTCTTTGGGAGGTTCAGACGGGGTTTCTATGAATTTGAAGCCCGGCTGAGTTACATAGTGAGACCTTGTGTGTGTGTGGGTGGGGGGGTGTCACAGCCTGGCTCAGTTTTCTCCAGTACCCGTCTACCCCAAAGTGGCTTCCACTGCTCCATGAAGGAGTGTTCCGTCCTGACTTGAGGCCATCAGGCGATGACACTTTGTTCAGGAAAAAGTCATGAGGGTCGCATCAGAGGACAGAAGTGCTTTAAAATAATGGTACTATGGAAATTGGATGAGATCACCCTGTTTCCACCTCCCCCATTCTAATGATAGGGAACCTAGAGGAATAGAATTAACCAGCTGGGCTAGGATTAAAGGCTCAGGGCATCTTAGAATCCAGCTGAGCGGATTGAGACGGGTATACAACTGATGCTTCTGGGTGGCCAGTGTGTGTCTGGACAGACGTTCAGGGCCCGTGTGAGGCAGGGGGACAAGGCTGATGTGGGGCTGCGGGAGGGGTGTGGGTTGGAAGAGATGGGCTGCAACTAGGTCAGAATGGGGAGAGGCATTTCAGGGTATGCTCAGCACCCGCATAATGTTGGTATAGCCAGAACCGGGTCGCCAGCCCGTCACCACAATCACCAGGTCACCTGTGCGGAGGAAGCCACGGAGCTTACCTGGGGGAGGAAAGGTGACAGTCAATGAAGAACCTAGGTCAGCCATACCATCCACCCACCTCAAGGCTACCCCGTAAGAGAAGGAAACTGAACTGGAGCTATGAGGGATGCAGAGTACTGATTCTAAGCATCAAGCCTTTGTATCCGTGTGGTTACAGTAATGGGACAAGGGCAGATGTGGTCATGATGACTATAAATTAAAATTTAGTCCCACCTCTTACTCCTATGTCCCCATACGTTGTTGCAGACAGCAGCAGACTTTTTAGAGACACTTCTGCTCTCCCTCCCTCCCCCTCTGCTTAACCTCCCTGCTTAGAGCCCAAGACACTTGTCCATCTTAGTGATTCCTAGGGAATATCTTGGACCAGTGAGGGCAGGTACAGCCTTTGAGTCAGGTGAGAAGCCAGGCTGGGGAGCCAAAGGGCAAGGTCTCCAAGGCTCACCACTTTCAATGCCAAATTGAACCCTTCGATCCACATCATCTGCCCAGACGGCCTCTGGTGGCTCACGGTAGAGTAAGGGGAAGACTCCTCGGGACAGGTGGACCTGTCGGGCAGCCTGGGCAGAACGAGTCACAGCAATGACAGCTGCCCGAGGTCGGTACCGAGATAGAAGCTGGGCTGAGCTGGGTGAGGGGGACATGGTTAGAACATCAGAGTGTTGACTTGAGAAACAAGAGTGTGAATTATGGTCCCAGGTACTGATAATGGGCCATGTTGCCCTGGGTGAGTGATACTTCTCTAGCATTTGACATTCTCACTAAATATTAAGAGTGCCTACCATGGCTGGAGAGGTGGCTCAGCTTTTAAGAGCATTTGCTGCTTTTGAAGAGGACCTGGGTTCAGATTGCAACATCCATATGGTAACTCACGGTTGTTTGTAAGATCATTTCCAGGGGCTCTGATGCCCTCTTCTGGCCTTCACTCGAGCCAGACATGCAAATGGTGCAGACATACACACAGGCAAAATGTCCATCCATATTTTTAAAAAGTAAAACAAATGTAAAGCCCGGTCTAGACAGATGGCTCAGTCCGTAAGAGCACTTACACCTCTTCCAGAGGACCTGAGCTACTTTCCAGAATCCACACCAAGTAACTTACAAATGCCTGTAACTAGGCTTCTGGCCTTGTGTACTGTACACAAATGCAGGCAACCCCCAACATGCACATGTATAATTAAAAACACTTTTAAAAACTTAGAAATGTAAAACCAGACAGCAAGACATGGTGGCACATGCCCATAATCCCAGCTCTTGGAGATGGAGGCTGAAGGATAAATTCAGGGCTACTTTAGCTAAGTAACTTTCAGACTAGCCGGGACTAATGAGACCCTATTTCAGAAAAATCCCACCAAACAAACAACAAAAAAGGGGTAAAACTGTCTAGAAGATGTGTACTTATATAATACCCACCCTCCACATGGCACTTAATGTCCCTTGTTAATCCTCACCCCATGGGGGAACAAGTGAGTCACTGCTAAGTGTGAGAGAAAAATCCTCAGGTTTACCAGGCTCTTCAGCAACACCTGGGCACTGTGAAACCCCCTTAGCCCTGGAGCCTAGGAGCCCTGAAGCCTACATGCTTAGATTATCTCCTGCTGAGTCCCTAGAGCTCACTGGCACAGGTCCTGGAACACCCAAGAGCTGCCTTTCCTGGTCCCTAGCATTTGGGGCTATCTCTTTTTTTTTGCCCAAAAGCAATACTTTTCATCCCACACTGTGCCAACCACTCCCTGATCAAAACCCTGTTTCCACTGTCTCTCACCGGCCAGTTGTGGTTAGCACAATGATGGCCGCAGCACAGCACTTGAAGGCGGCCTCCACGGCTCCAATAGCTGTGACCTCAGTGGGGTCACGGCTCAGTGGCGCTGCCCGTCGTAGCTCTTCAAACAACTGGCGGTGGTACACAGCAGCCTCTGCCTCCCGGGCAATCTGCAGGCACCAGTAAGCCAGGTTGAGTAGAAACAATGGGGTCCCAGAGGGTCTGAGTCCCTGGGGCTTCACTTTTTCAGGACTGAGTTCCTACCGCATGTTGCATCTTCACAGCCTCCACAGGAAAGCTGCCCTTGGCCGTCTCTCCAGACAACATGATACAGTCGGCCCCATCCAGCACAGCATTGGCCACATCGCTTGTCTCTGCCCGAGTTGGTCGAGCTTTAGTGATCATGCTCTCCAGCATCTGGGTGACACCATGGATGGGAAGCTGTAGAAGTCTCATTCTGATTGGGGACCCTGCCCACGTTGTTTCTATGACACCCGCCCTCTTAGAATGCCAGGATCACAGTGAGATCCTGGAAAGTTCATGTCATCTCTATCTAACGTCGTCACTTGTGACTAGACACTGGGCAGCAGAGTGTAGATCCAAGGTTGCTCAGCACCTTTGAAGTACAGCCCAAGGAAGGGTTCACTCCATACCTGAGTGGCACAAACGACTGGCTTGCCGGCTAAGTTGCAGCGCCCAATCATCATCTTCTGAGCCAAGAAAACCTTCTCGGCTGGGATCTCAATGCCCAGGTCACCCCGTGCTACCATGATGCCATCGCTCACCTCTAGAATTTCATCAAACCTGGGAGGTTATAGGAATCCATGCTAGGGCAGAGCCAGGAGGAGATGCCGGGAAGTGGCGCACACAAGAGGAGCAATGGCAAATAAGAGGGCTGATGGGAACAAAGACCAAGCCTCACTTTTTCACGCCTTCATGGTTCTCGATTTTGCTGATAATTTTGATGCCCCTTCCTTCGGGCCCCAGGGCATCCCGGACTGCAGCCACATCGCTGGCTTTCCGTACAAAGGAGGCAAAGATGATGTCCACATTATGCTCTACCCCGAAGCGCAAATCCAAGAGATCTTGCTCAGACAGCCCAGGCAGGTCCACCTCAGCGTTTGGCAAGTTCACACCCTTCCTGCTACCCAGGACACCGCCGTGTTCCACTTCAGTCACCAGCCCCTCTGGACCTGCGGGTATAGACAGAGTTAGCGTCTGTCAAGGCTGACACTGCACTATAGGCACGGTAGAGGAAATGCTAAGCTTGGAGCCCTTCACCCCCTCCACACACACCAAGAAGAGATATCAAATGCCCAGCCCCAAACCGTGATGAGCACAGGGACCACTCGGATATGTGGGGGAAGTAGGCACAGCCAGGGGAAGGTGTGAGTGTCCTAGAGCAGACCAAACAGAAGAGAAGGGCCCGGTGTTAGGGCGTCAGTCTGGGTAGGAGGCACTTCCGCACCGATTTTCTGCACCACTAAAGAGATGAGCCCGTCGTCAATGTAGATGCGGCTCCCCACTGCAAGGACCCGGGCTATATTGGGGTAGTCCACCCACACTGTGTTTGCGTCGCCCCGTGTCCGGAACTCCGGGTCCACAGTCACCAGCACTTGTGAGCCCTTCACAATCTCCACCTCCGACTCTGGGCCCTGGGAGCGGGGCCAGAGAGAAATGAGTTTCACACGTGGGTCCCTGAAGGGTAGGACCAGCGCTGACCTCCTTTCCCGCCCCAGTGCTTGTAACACTCCTTCGGCCTCAGACAGCGCCAACCCACAGGCTTCTCACCCCCTGCAGGATGCCGGTGCGTATCTCGGGTCCCTTGGTGTCTAGGGCAATGGCCACAGGCCTGTAACTGAGTGGGGAGGTTGCAAAGCTCTCAGCTGCCTCTCGGATGTTGGCGATGGATTCCGCATGGTACTAGGCACGAGAGCGAAGATTTCAAGGGAAAGTAGGCAGGACCTGGGCCATCCTTCAGCTCTGCCCTCGAGGACGTCCCCACACCTCATGGGAGCCATGGGAGAAGTTCAGTCGTGCAATGTTCATCCCAGCCTTGATCATCTCCTTGAGGCGTTCCACAGAGCGAGATGCTGGCCCTGGGACCAGAGATTCCACTATGAAGTTCCTCCCATCAGCACCCTTAGAGACTGCCCAATCCCAGGTGGCTTTCATTCTTGGAAGTTCCACTACTCCTTTTTCCACTCCAATAAGCACAAACCCCTCGGGAAGGCAGCTTGTGGGGATGTTTAATCTCAAGCCAGGCCTTATGTACCTTTGTTAGCAAGTGGTTTGACATTAAGTGCCTCACTGAGGAGGTTACTCTAGGGCATGAAGGGTCAGAACATGAGGCAGGCCGAGCAGGTAGTGTTCAGGCCAAGAGGTCTCACTGATGGAGCTGAGTTCTGTCCCATTCTCCACCCTCCTCATCCTAAATTAGCATTTGACTCATATTCCTCCTGTCCCTCCCCTTCCCAGGCCACTTCTTGCCGCACTGAAGATGGAGCCCAGGGTCTCCTACGTGCTCTACCCCTGAGCTGCCCTTGTCCTCTGTTTTTCTTCCTTCCTCCTTTGTTTCCCATCCCTCCACAGTTCTGTGACAGGGTCTCCTGTAACTCAAGTTTGACAGCCAGTCTGAGCTATAGAGGAATCGAGGCCAGCCAGGGCAATCTAGTGAGATTACGTCAAAATACAAAGTAAAAAGAAAGCTAAGGTCATGAATCAGGTAGGGTCCTTGTCAACCAATCTCAGGGCCCCGAACCCAATTTCTAGTCCCCTACACCCCCACCAGGTAATACCTCCCCCAGTCTCTTCATGTCTGCTGTGTCTTAAAGCTATCCTAGGCTTCCTTCCTGTTTTCAGATCAAAAACAAAACCAAAAACAAAAACTGTGTGTGTCTGAGCGTGAGTATGTGCGCATGAATAAGGAAAAGTTGATATGTTTCCCTTAGAACTAGAATTACAGGCAGTTGTAAACTGTCCAATGGGGTTTTGGGGGAACTGAACAAAGGTCTTCTGGAAGAGCTGTACTCAATCTTAGTGGCTGAGCCATCTCTCCAGTCCCAACTCCAGCACACCTTGATTTCTGGGCATTGAGTGCCCTTTGCCTGGACATCTCTTCTCCCAAAGATCTGCAGAGCTATTTCTCCCCTTGCCATCTTCTTTTTTTCCCTTTTATTTTCAGAGTGTCATGTAGCCCAGGCTAAGCTCAAACTTGATATGTAGCTGAAGATAAGCCTGAACATCTGATCCTCCGGCATCTACTTACTGCCCAGGGCTGGGATTACGGGCAGCACAGGAGGTTTTATCTGATGCTGGGGATTTCATGAAAGGGAGGAAAACACTCTATCAACTGGCTACACTCCCAATCACATTATTGATTTTTGATTTTGCTACAAAATTTCACTTTGTAGCTTCAGCTGTCTTCACCTCTCAGCAATCCTCCTGCCTAGGTACTCAGTGTTCAGAGATACGAATCCACTGCCATTCCTATCTCCTTTTCCAATCTTTGCTAGGAGGTTTTTTTTCCCTCAGCTGCCTTGGCTCCTGTTTAGGACTGGGGACTGGGTCTTCCTTCTGCCCTCAAGAGGGATGCTGGATATCCCTGGCCACACCTCTTTACTTAAAACTTTCAAACCTTTCAAACTCACTGAACTAGCTACATTTTATTGCTTTTTTTTTTTTTTTTTTTAAACAAGATTTCCCTGGCTGTCCGGAACTCTCTCTGTAGACCAGGCCTGTCTCAAACTCACAGAGATCCACCTGCCTCTGCCTCCTGAGTGCTGGGATTAAAAGCTTAGGCCACTGCACCTGACTTAACTAGTTAAGTTTTAATAAGTCATTGCTTATTATGTGTTGTCCTACCTGATAGACTGCCCTTATCCATTTATTTAATGGTCTACTACCTGTTCCAAACCTTGTCTTCTAGGTACTTGACAAGTATTAGTTAAGCTGGGGGTGGCATTCCATACCTGTGTCACCGCAGTAGAACTTAAAAGAAGACTAGAAATTCAAGGCTAAGACTATATAATATGGACTATATAACAACTACCCAATGCTACCTGAGACCCTGTCTCAAAAATCCAGCCTCAAACAGGTGTGGTGGTGCATGTCTTTAATCCCAGCCCAGCATTCAGAAGGCAGAGGCAGGTGGATCTCTAAGTTCAAGGCCAGCCTGCCCAACACTCAGAGCTACAGAATAGAAAGACTTTGTCTCAAAAAACATTAATAAAATAACTTCCCTCACAAAACCCTCACAAATATTTGCTGAATGAATGGCACTGTCAAAGACTGCAAAAATAGGGAGAAACCTTGAGCCATGCAGGCTTACCAATGGTGGCTATGATGCTGGTGCTACGAGCAGCCACAGGCTCTGAGTCGATGTCCAGAAGACAGAGGTGTTCTAGGAAGGTATCCGCCATAGCTGCAGGCAGTTGCTGTTGCTGGAAGAAGGCAGTGCCCAGCTCCTGGGTCAGTTGGGCCACACTAGCACGTCGAAGGTATCCTGCAGGCCCTGCAGTATAAGGGGACTCAGGGTCTTGCACAGGTACCTGCCTGTCCTCCTGGTGCTTCCCGTCAGTGCACGCTGCATCCCTTCGGCTTTCCAGTTTGTGTGAGGCCTTCCTTCAGTGAGTATCATACTCACGTTACTTTAGTTAGTCTCGAGGGTCCTATAGAATAGACTGTTGGGTGTGATCTACCCCAGTTTTACAAATAAGGAAAAAGACATTTAAATGATAAAATACATTGTGCAAGTAAGATATTCAGATCTAGGTCTAACTAACCCCAAGCTCAAATTCTTAATATCCCATCTAAAAAGACCTTCCCCGCCCCAGACTCCTTCAGGCCACTCAGCCTCAGCCGTGCAGATGTCTCCTTCAAATATGCATCTCATTCCCGAGCCTCAGAATCACTCAGTTCTTTTCCCTAAGATTCCTGTTTACTTCCTTCCAACTCCAGGCAATTCACTGGCTTCCCGACTCCCCTTCAAGTTCCCTCCATCCACTCAGTGCTGCTTCAAGTCCCAGAGATCCTGTAGCTTGACCCAGACCAACTCAGAAGAGCATCGTGTCCCGAAGTACCTGCCATGCTGCTGCATACCTGCTGTGTCTGTGGGTCTGCTTTATGCTGTGCTGTGGTCAGTGGTATGAGGCCTGGCTCAGATGAGGCCAGCCCTGAGCACTGGTTAAAGTATAACCAGCCAGCATCTCTCTTGCCAATGGAAGCAAGCCTTGTATATCAAGGGCCAGAGTCCAGGGACCACGGGAGTGCCCCGTGGCATCCATGCTGCCGGATCCCCTTTGGCCTGTCTGCAGAGCCTGGATCAAAGGCTCAGATCAGGTCTGTATTTAACTCAGGTGACGCTGCCATGGCCATCCTTCCCCCAAGGCCTCCACCCCCCAACTCTGAATCTCCCCACACCCTTCCTCTACTTACCTCCTGGAGCCCCACTTAGGGCAGACTTTGCTAAGTCTTTCTGGGACCTAGAGATCCATGGCCAGAGCTGCTGGCGTAGAATGTGTTCTTGGACAGACATGCTTCCAAAGTGTGGGACTGGGCTGCAGGCACCACAGACTGGGAGGAGAGGATGCCCAACTGCTGGCCTTATCTGGGGGAGCCAGAGAATAGAAAAGGGGCACACCCAGGAGGCAGCCCCATCCCCACACAGAGTCCCTTCTCGAGGACTGCCAGCTGTCTCCCCCCACCTCTTCCCTTCCCTAAGTCATCCAGTTTTCCTGATCAGTTTTTAGTCCGTTCGCATTGACTGGTCTTCAACTCCAGCAGAGAGATTGGTTGATTTCCAACGATACAATCCCTTTCTCCTTGTATTTTCCTAAGCAAGGGCTTAAAGATTGGGGCCTCGAGTGTGGAAAAGAGGGAAGGAAAGCTTCTGCTGGTGTGAGTTAAAGGCTATCTTAGTTCTCTCCCTGTTTTTCTGTGAACATGTCTAGGCATTAATAAAAGTGTCTGGATTGTTGTTGATCATCCATATTGATAAACGCTCGGCCAAACTTCTTCAGCTATCACAGGGATGCCTCACCCCACTCACTATTTATCATGGCACTAGAGAGAATGACCTTGCCTTACTGACCACCATGAAGATAAGCTGCGGTCCCACTGGTAAAACTTCCCTATAATGCCCCATGGACCACCTCGCTTTGGAACCCCAGCTGGTCCCATTCTGGGGGTTCTCCTGACCCTATTCTTGGGTGATTTTACATGTTCAGCCTTGATAAAACAGTGGTAGTCTCTGGGAAGTCCTTGGTGACTTTGTCACTATGACACTACCAGTATCTGTCCATCCATTGCCATCTAGTATTTATTGCACATCTGATCTGGGCCAGACCCTGGACACAGTGGACATTTCCCATCTGTGGATTACAGCACAGTGGGGAGATGGGCTAATAGCAAAGGAATGAATGAATGCCATAAACCGGGTAAGGGCCGTCAGGGATGGATCATAATACTGGGGCAGAGAGGCCAGGAGAGCAGTGATGTATCTTAGATGCCTCTTAAATAAAATGGGGATTTCTCTGCTTTGATTCTGTTTAAGCTAAAATGTTAAGGATAAGAAGGAATCGGCAGGGACAGAGGGAACTATTTTCTGTAGGTGAAATGTGTGTCATAATTCTGAGAAGGAAAAAGCTTGTTCTGTAAAGATGCTGGATTGGGGAATATGGCCATGGTGAAACTGGGCACCTGAGCGGGGCCTAGTATTGGTAGCAGGGACATAAAATAATACAAATTAGGTTTTGGGTAGCTCTAGCTGATGGATGGAGTCAGTAATGGATGCAGGAGAAATTGGTAGGCCGTGGGAATAGCCCTGAGTTTGGTGTGACAGGCTAGCCTGGCTGGCACTGTGGAGAGGAGGTAGTCTGTGAGATGTGTTTTAGAGAATAGTAGCAAAGTGAAATAGACAGGAAAAAGAGGCATCCATTCCATGGAGTGCAATGTGGAGAAGTCTGGCTTTGTGTTGGAGTCGAATGTCCTGTTTATCTGCCCTTTCTGAAGCAGCACTGAGGCAGTATAGGCAGGAGGAAGCCATCTTTCTTCGAGGCTGGCATTGAAGATATGAGAGCTAATTCTGTAACACCCTGCCTTTCTGGGATAGGGGAGCAAAAGGCTTTCCTGGGGAGGTGAGGCATAAGGCTTTGGGCTGTGTGGGGTCTCCAGTGGATTCTGATCCCTTGCATAGTCACAAAGGTCATCGTGTCTAGGTGGACCTTCTCTAGAGCCAAAGGGTTAGGGAGGAGCTGAAGGGTGAAAGCATGCAAAGGGTATGTCAAAGGGCCTCTGATATAGCCCAAGCAGCTGGGTAGAGAGGAGTGTCTATGCCCATTGAGACAAGTGAGGGAAGAGGCTGCAAATGGGCAGCAGTGCTACACAGCTTTATCCCAGCACTCGAGAGACTGAGGCAGGTGGACCTCTAAGTTCAAGGCCAGCCTAGTCTACAGAGTGAGTTCCAGGACAGCCAGGGTTATACAGAGAAACCTTGACTCAAAAAACAAATGAGGGAATCCAAGACTTCTGTTTCAGACTGGCTGTGTTTGACATGCCGGTTAATCATTAAAATCCAGGACTGAGAGCAGGCTCTGCTCACTGAGCCCTCAGCACTGATATACCCTTGCTTTCCTGTCTCGACAGGAGGACCAGAGGAGTTGAAGAGGGTGTGTTGCACATCTGGGCTTGCTCCAGACCCTGTCTCTACCCCCTTCTGCTCTGCTTTGGGGCCAGAGGCCAAGGAGTGTCCCATGGCTTCTGCAGAGTTTGGCCAGTGAAAAACGGCACCCATGGGAGAGTAGGCGAGGAGCAAACAGTCCTATCAGAGGACCCTCTCTTCCCAGAGTCTAGGAACAGCCTTTTGGGGTAATGGGTTCACAAAGGCTGATCCTGGCTGATGCCCTGCAGTTTACCAACCATTCTGCCCATACCTCTGCAGGTAATTTTGTTAAACCCAAACTAGATTGAAGGAGTACTCCATTTTGGTTTGGAGGAACTGTCTCCCAGGCTGAAAATCATTTGGAGAGATAGTGTGGTGCTGGAGCCCGCTCTGGCACTCCTAGACTGCTTTCCTTGCCTCTGGGTTCTTCTCAGTGGAGGGGAAAGGAGTGTCTAACCAGAGTTAGATGGCAGGGAGGTGGTGTTGGGAAACTGAGCACAGAGGCCTTGGATGTCAGCATTTAGAATACAGAACAAAGAGCTTAGACGGCTTGTCACCAGAAGGGAGACGGCAGACACCGAGGACTGGGGACATGAGCCTCTGGCTTGCAGAATCAGGCAGATATGCCAGACCTATCAGGAAATTGTCAATTTTATTTCCTTTAATTGAGTTAAACTCTAATTCTGAGTTCCTATCCTTTCTGTAAGGCAGGAAATTTCATTGCTTTTCCCGGGGTTCTCCTCACCCAGATGCAAGCCTGGCAATTCCTCATAGGTTCTCCATTCTCTCTAGGGGTGCCACATGTGTGAATCATTGATACCTCTAGGTCACGAGTTCTGGGCCCCAGTTTTGGGCGCAGCTCACAGCTTCTGAGAACCAGGACGCTCCTATCCTCCCCATCTCCGCATTCCACACCCAGTTCACACGGTACAAAAGAAACACACACACACACACACACACACACACACACCAGCAGCCAAGTGCAGCAGGATCCTTTGCTGCAGGAGGTTTTGCTCTGCACACACAGCACAAGGCCCGCTTGTTCCTCTGTGAACTGAGATAACCACACCGGAGAAGCGTGCAGGGTGATAAGGTCTGAGCTGAGTGCTCTGCCGCTCCGTTCACAGTGGATCTGCACGCACCCCAACCGCTCCTCCCTCCGAGGCCGGGTGTGTTTGAAAAGGGCTTCTGTAAGTTCGGGACGACGTTTGTGCAGCGCACGAAATGCACGTTCCACTCCGCTGCTAGACCGGGTCCCCGAGTTTCATGTATAGCCCTCCAGAAATAGCCCCTGAAGAGACGAAAGACAAGGATGAACCAACAGCAGCACAGAACAGCAAACACCCGCCCCCCACACCCTCGCATTCCCCGGGCCCCACCTAGCAACCCACGGTGGACTCATTGCCACTGAGAATTCAACTCAGTTTTTGTCGGGGACTCCCTAAAATCCATCCACGGTACCCCTCAGTTCTCCCCACAAGTGAGGGATCTGTTGGAGTGGTGTCGGAAGCTTGTCTGTGCTCAGGTCAGCTTTCTGCTGTCTGCACCACCACAAGAAAAAAAAATTCTTTTTAAATTTCATTTATGTGTGTGGGTGTTTTGTCTGTATGTAAGCCTGTACACCATGGGGTGCCTGGTGCCAGCCAAAAAAGGGCATCGGATCTCCTGGAACTGGAGTTACAGATGGTTGGTAGCTTTGTTGGCATCCTTAAACAGGCTTCATTTTCTTCTTTCATTCAGTTAAATTAGAAAACACAGTAAGCCATATCTTTTAGAGCAGGACTGTCATCTCAGCTACTTAGAGGGTTAGGACAGGAAAATCACATGTCTAAGGCCCACCAAGGCTGCAGAGCAAGTTCAAGGCCAACCTGAGCAATTTAGCAAATCTCTCTCTCCAAATGAAAAGTTGGGCTGGTGTGCACCTGCACACATACCCAGATACACGCAAATAGATTCCTAAAATGTAATTAGAAGCCAGGTGTTGGTGGTGCATGCCTTTAATTCCAGCACTAGGGAGGCAAAGGCAAGGAGGATCTTTGTGAGTTGGAGGTCAGCCTGGTCTACTGAGAGAGTTCCCTGACAGCCAGGACTGGGGGTGGGGGTGGGGGTGGGGGAGGGGAACCTGTGTCGATAAAAAAATCATCCAAAGTGTGTGATTCAGTCGTTGAGCCCTTGCTTACTGGGGTGTGAGGCCAAATTTGGTCCCTACTACCACGTGGAAAGGGTGATCTAGAACATGTCAATAGCTACAAAATCAGCAGGTTTGGCACCAGTAAGACGAAGCCAGTGTGCCCGTGAAGGCAACCTCAGAAAAGTCTGGGCTCCATGAGGCCTCAGCACTAGCTACTTGTTTACAAGAAGTGCAAGTAAATGGAGGTGAAAACTTGAGGATGTGATTGACAGGTCTAAAATGTGGACAATGTGACAAGCAACTGTCGGCAGTGAAGTAGCAAAGGGAAAAAGGAGGAGAGGCTGCGCAAAACAACAGTGGGGCTGGCTGACGGCTCTGCATGCCAAGTGCTTGATCTAAGCATAAGCACTTGAGTTGATCCCTAAAGCCCACATGAATAAACCAGATAATGTGGGGCATGCTTGTAATCCCTGTGCAGAGGCAGAGATGGGGTCCCGAGGGCTTGCTGGCCAGCCCGTCTAGCCAATTGATGAGCTCCAGGCCGGTGAAAACCGACTTCCCAAGAAAGAGAATGGCCTTCCTAAGGATGACAGTGCAGATTATCCCCTGGCTTCCATAAGCATCTCAACACACGTGCATGAGCCCCACACATGCACACACATGTGTAAAAAGTATTCAATGCTTGACAAACACGGGGCTAGAAAGATGGCTGAGTAGCTAGGAGCCGAGCTGCTCTTGGCGGGGGGGGGGTGGGGGGGGTGGGGGGTGGGGGGGGGGGGGTCTGACTAATCC